AAAAAAAAAAAAGAAAAGAAAAAAAATCACAGCATCACTTGGGCAGCCCGCCAAGGGAAGAAAATATATATTTAATAGTACACGTACGATGCGGTTCGTAGACAGTTGGATCGTTAGGGTTCGACATCACGAGCGCGAACTGGACGCATGAGTGCCAGCCAGCAGGAGCACCTTTGGGGTCGGCGAACTCGAGATAGATGGATACATTTTCCGCTTGGTTGTTTCCCTGAGGGAAGAGGAGGATTTTCCTAAGGGAGGATTGTGACAACAGACAATAGGTATGCTTTAAATAACACGTCCCGAACGACGCGGTGGCAAAAGAAATAACCGAGCCGAGAAAAAAAAAAAACGAACCAAAAAAAAAAAAAAAAAAAAGGAAGAGGGAAAACTCACCAGTTGAATCCACCGGCCTCAAACTCAGGGCCGTTCAACCGCTTTTCCAGAGCACGCCAGCTCTTTATATGCCAATGATACACCTGGAAGTCTTCAATATCTTGGCCGAGGTCTGGCATAAGCTTGCCTGCGATGGTTTCGTCTGTGAATCACGTTGTAAAGTGCAGTGTGAGATGAGGGAGGTAGTGTCAACCAAAAAAATCGCACGGCACTTATTTCCACAAGATCCTGCCAAACTTTGAAAGACAGAATCGTGCATGACAAAGTGTTCTCGATACTCACGGTCATGAACGGATACTGGAGGTTCACTCTCGATATCGGACATTGGTTTATCCAACTCGATCGGGGTGGTTTGATCGCCCGAAAGATCCATTTGTTCAGGATCCTGATGGTCGAAGCAAAACACTTGTTAGCCTTTTTTATACTATTTTTTGTTGAGCGAATGTATATATTCCTGTAGTCGCAAGACTAAAAAGCACCAAAACCAGACACCGCGCCTGCAGGATCAGAGCAAGGGGTGGATCGGCGCTCGTGTGGGGACGTGAACGAGGGGAGAACAAGCGACAAAATTATGAAGGGTGGGAATTAACATTACCATTTTGTCTGCGGCAAGATATCTCAGGAGATAGTTTGCGATGAGCACGAAGAAGCCAAATAGGAACGAGGCAAAGAGGTTGGGATTCGGGACAAACTGGTCGCGTATGTAGTCAATAATGACTGGCTTTGGGATGGGTGGGTAAAATAGAAGGGGGAGAGGGATTTTTCGCCAGCAAAAGACTCAGCGACGAGTGAGGGGGAGGGTGTACTTGAATGATGGAGAGGCGTCGGAGATGGGGACAGAGCCTTGGGGAGAGGCGAAAGGGATAAAGTCCGTCGGGTTTAAGGGAAATCGAAGGGACGGGCGCAGAGCTGCAGAGCTGATGATGCCGTTTTTGCGTAACCGCCTTACTGACCCCATGATGTCATCACCGCGTCCGTCAAGCCCAGCACATGGCTCTCTGCTCTCTGACCATCTTTGCTCCCCCTCTGACTTCCCAACTCCCCCCCCCTCACCAGCTCGCTGCTTCACGTGGCTGTATGCCCATGGCTGCCGTTCTGATCCACTAATTAATAGTGCGAACCTGCAATCCATTGAAAACCCATTGCGTGCAATTTTCGGCTTTTACGCTTTCATCTGGGATAGCTTAATAAAGTAAGCCTTAAACCATTGTAATATCAGTTGCCGGCTTAGCGCAGCGGTAGCGCGTCAGTCTTGTAAACTGAAGGTCGGCAGTTCAATCCTGCCAGTCGGCAAGTTTTTTTTTTGCTAATTTTATTTTTATTTTATTTTTATTATATATATATATATATAATTATATATATATATATTTAGGAATTAGTATCTATTCTATGTTTCATATACTAGCTTTATCGCCTTGGCTTCTATAAAGTTTATACACTGGTAAAAATTAAATTGACACAATTTGTAACCATCGCACAATTTGTAACCATCGTAAAGGGACATACTTTTATCACACGTGGCCAACAACACATCTCTTGATCACACATTTTCGGATCGACGGAATGGCATAATGGCACATGTACATACGAGCCTGGCGCGGTAGGGTGTGCTGGAGTGATTATGCGTTTATGCAGTACATTCTTTGGCGACGACTAGGAGTTGTTTAACGGTGCCACTAAACTGGTCGTGTGCTTTCACCTGCGTACAATGGTTAGTACATACTAGAGTGCAATAATAATAATAATATGGAGCGTACTGCAACAAAACAAACATTTGAAAGCAGGAAATGCGTTGTGACGTTTTTTTTTTTTTAACTCGATTGCGCCACTCTTGTAAATAAACAATCGTCCACGACTCTGAATTCCATTAAATAAAGAAACAAGGTATTCAGGTGCGTGATTTTGACAACAATGCTAGTTCTACACATTCAATTTTTAATTTCACAGACCACGGCTTTGTAGATTAAACCAACTTTCCCTCTTTTTTTTCTCGCTCTGTCTCGCCATGACTAACATGACGCTCAATTGTCTCGTCCTGGGTGAGAATCCCGAGGAAAATATGTATTTGATGTTGACATCGATAAGGAAAAGTCGGTCAACAAACTTAAAGAAGCGATCAAGGAGAAGAATCCTTTAACGTTCGCCCAAACCGAAGCACAGATATTAGTCACAGAATGATGTATGTTACTAATTTCTCAATGATTTGGTTAAGTTTAAAATTTTGTTATTGATCAGGCATTTCACCTTTATGGTTAATGCAGACCAAGAAGTTTCGTGACCACTCTTGTCCAACATTCATACTTGTCACAGCTCTGCAATTTTTACAGATAAAGTAATCATTGGGCCATTGACCGACTTAATCTTGCTGTTAGCCAAACCATGAGATGATGGGCAGTTGCAGCGAGTTACCCGGATTTTTCAAGCATTCAGACTTGCTTTGAACCAGCTCAACAATTTCTATACCGCTCTGACCTTGGACGCACCAATGGATGAACAGCGTTATTTTTCCTATCGTAGGCAGTATAATGATCAGGCTGGCAACGCTGTCAACTTCCAGTATCTCTATATGCTTACTGATGATTTCATGAGACCAATCTGGAAAGCGAGAACGAATGACGGCAGTGCAATTGTTGTTATCAGAAATCCAAAAAAAAAAAAAAAAAAAAAAAAAAACTTATAAAGTTGTAATCGCTTTGGTTCCAGAGGGTTAAACCTATTACCGAATATAATGTCCTATGGCTATTTTGTGATGGAGAAAACATAGCATACACATACGTAAAACGGCCCAATTATTCATGCCCTTGCAGTTGCTTCTGTATAGTAGCCCTTCCCCACGATCCTCGGCTGTCGAATTGGATACTTCGTTAGGTGACACCGGTGTAGGATAACATTCTCGAGGGATCAAAAATAACATTTCGCACTGGGATTCCAGAAACCTTTATAAAACACCCATAAGGGGTGACAAGGCCCTCGATTGCTTTTCAGTCCTGTACGTTTAAACACCATACTCCTTCTCATATTCTTTCTTAGTTCTGCTCATACCTGTTTACTTACTCGTTAACCTGTTAACCTCCTTCTTATCATGTGACGCGCCTCCTCAGTCGGTGAGACTTACCTATGTGTCCCTCGCGCTGAGCAACATCCCTCCCTCTTTCAGTACCCACCTCGCACCATTGCAGATCCCACTTATGGTATCTCTCTAGGCCGTGGCGGACTAGAATAAATAAGCATTTATGCCAGGCTGAATACTGTTGGAGAGCGGTTTGCTCATGGTATGGATCGATGACGTAGTTATGGTGGAGTTTGAAAAAATGGCGTTAGAGGGGGTTCAAGTAACGGGTGTCATGTTTAATACGTTTTTGGTAGGTTCCCCTCCTCCCCCTTTTTTTTGTATTCTTTTCCCTTCTTGCCGACACTAAACACGGATTATTGGTTCTAATTGTTTCCAACCATCGCAGGCGGAAGCAAACTAGGGTTCGAGGCGGCGGAGGATTCAGTGACATATTCAAAAATCTACACATGGCGGCAATCATGCCAGAAAGGCTGCGTTGGTGTCACTATAGTGGGTGCCTGTCTGTATAAAAAAATCGCGTTTAAATATTACACTTAATTCAATCTTTCCTTCCTTTTTTTGGCAGAAAAATACTATTACATCTCAGATGTCTTTCTTTTCAACTGCTCTCTTGTCGGTGTTCATTAGTATGTCGGTGTTCATTAGTATGGCAGTGCGATAACGTTATCAAGATACCGGCTAAATTGTTCCCAACGCCCTCCCTTCTCCAATATCACCAACGCAGATACCAACGTAAGTGATAGTTTATAGTGATTGCACTTACACTAGTTTATTAAACATAACATAAAAATACAAATAGGAACAAGAAACACGGAAGAAAACTCACAAATAAATGACATGTAACTTGTACAAAGAAACTATGTAATTAATTATTAATATCTGTCTAATTATTTCACTATCAATTTGATTTTATATTTACTTTGTATACCTTCTCGTGGATTGCTAGCACCCGTTTGTAATGTCCCGATAAGCCAACATTGTAAAACTCTACGATCGTCAAATGCCAGGATTTTTTCTATCGGACGATGGCTAAGTTTGTTTGAGTATTTTATTTGTTTGTCGCCGCAGAGACTTTCATTCCTTTGTGCCACTTTATCACTTTGCTCGCATCATCGTTCGCGTCTGCGCCATTTTAACACAGCCTGTTACATACAGTCTTTTTTTTTTTTTTTTTTTTTTTTTTTTTTTTTTTTTTTTTTTTTTTTTTTTTTTTTTTTTTTTTTTTTTTTTTTTTTTTTCACTCGCTCTTTTGACAACAATCAACGCATCCAACGATACATGGTTAATGCATTCAGCAAGCCCAGAAAGCTCAGAAACGACAAAAGGGCTCGGCAGTAACTAATGAATTTCTCAACGTAACGTTAAATAGCAGAATTCTCTGGCGATGACTCTGTAGCAAAATTTCGAGAGTTAACCGACTCCAGTTTAATAACTAATAATATTGTGTTAACTAAAGCATATTTGCTAATAAAGGCTATCCATATCCATTAGTTTGTATATTTGGTATATTTACAACCATACTTCATGTATAATGTACAAAAATCTTTCTTTCATTTTTTTTTTATCCAAAGATTATCGGCCATTGAGAAGGATCATCCAGCCCAAGTTCTTCGGCACAGCCGAAATCGGGTTTTTGCCGTTGCGGAGCATCCATTTGACTTTCAAGCGACACTACAGTCTCTCTTTCTTCTGGGATCTTGTTAACCGTCCTATTTCTGTATGCTCCCACCTCCACGTTCTTGAACTGCACGGCGTGTTCGAGACGCGTTCACCATGTGGTTTTTGATATGCGGCATGCAATTTTTTTTTCTTTTTTTCTTTCTTTCTCTTTTTCGAAACGCTTAAAAAACCTTTTTAAAGCACGTACCTGCTCCTTAATGATTTGTAGAAAAGATCCACCATAAGCAATCAGAAATGTGAAATCACTCCTTACCCATAGCAAAGTTGCCAATTAATCAACCAATAATAATAATAATAATAATAATAATAATAAGAAATTAAAAATTAAAAACATTGCGTGTACCCGAGGCCATCTGTCAGATGATGCGAATCTCACCAGAAGGAGAAAAAAAAAAAAAAAAAAAAAAACGTGGCAAGTTTATTTTTTATCCAAACCTGGAAAGGGATACAAGTGGGTTCCCATGATACGGGTTCCCGCGTATAGTTTCCCTAAAATAATAATAAATAATAAGAATTAATAATAAAACGAACACTCAGAGGAGGTATTGCCACTCCACCGAACCGAGCCTAGTGCGGGAAGTAGATGATAGCTGATCTTTTAATAAAAAATTGAAAAAAAAAAAAAAAAAAAAAAAAAAAACACAATACCGTCCCTGTCAGCACAAGCGCTAATGGAACATCCCTTCAGTTCAGCGAGATAGGTGCAAGGATAGTGAATGCCCCCCCTCTTTCTCCTCCGGCTGGGTTCGCAGGATTGCAATTAGTCTCTTTGAACGTCTTTTGCAAAATGAACTTTGACTAAGAGTATAAAAGGCGCCGCCTGCGTATGTAATGCATGGTGGATATTAAACGTGCTCCTGGCTACTGGCCTACTCAGGGGGTGAGATCGTTTTAACCGCGAGAGGAAGGGAAACCAAAGCTAACGGATCCCATGACAATTTACGCAAGCAAGGGCCCGCACATACCAAGGAAACCAGCACGATCGTATAGGCCAAAGACGTGGGGGTTAATAGAATGAGCATAAGCAAGGGGGTGGGCGTTGGACCGAGAGGGCGGGATGGCGTGGCAATCCGCACCAAATAAGCAAGGCACATGCCCAGTTTAAAGGCGATGAAATTTTTCATCCAATAATTAATTAATTAAAAAAAATAAAATAAAAAAAGCAATCGACTTAGATTGGATACAATAGGGATCGTTTTTGTTTACCGGAGTGTGTACCGTACGCGGCGCGCGACTAAAGAAGATCGAGAAGATCGTAAGGAGTGGACCGGACGTACTCACCGTGCTAGGGGGTTTATTTTCTAGGGTTTGACCAAAAACGACAGTATTACAGATGAGAGATCGCATTTATTACAGTTTTGGATCCAAAATAGTACCAGTTGTGCGAGGGCGTTGTGTGTGGAATTGACCCGAACATATGGTAAATTCTAAACGCGGTGTCACGTCAAACTGGAATTTCTTGCTGTACGTTTGGATCACGCACATTACGCACGGTCGTCTTTGATCCTCGCCCTTATCAGGGTTCGGTAGTAGGAAATTG